GTTGGAGGCAATTTCCGCAGTAGTTGAGGAACACCAACTAGTAAGATTTTAATTTTAGCTGGGTTTATTAGAAGGGAATTCTGACAGCACCATTGGCAGATTTCACTCAAGTCTTCGTTCAGATAGCCAAATACGTGAGCAATGTCAGTTGAGTGAAAGGATAGGTATAATTTACAGTCAGAATATTACCTCCAGAAGTAATGAAAGACAAATAAAGACGCTTTGGTTGCTAGGCTCAATCCTCTGACCTTAACTAAATCACTGCGTGGATCAGATAGTCAGAGTAACTTTTACAATGGCCAAAATCAGGAGAGGATGAAGCTGAAAGAGTATTATGTTTACAATCATCCAAATTAATGAGTGTATACGACAGACAGTAGTTTTTATAACCTGCTTAAAATGTGACTGGGTAAAACAGAGCAATTTGCACAACCAACCCAACGAGTCCATAAAACTGACGAAGTAACAAGTTTACGGAAAAAGTGAAAAACAGCTCCCCCAAAAACTGTCGGCCAACTGTTGGCCAACAGTCGTTTACTGCCTTTTGCGAAAATCTTCTGCCGACAGTTGGCCGACTGTCGGCCATTTGTCGGCCAACTGTTGGCAGCATGTCGGCAATTTGTTGGCCAAGTGTTGGTTGAGAACCCCCATTGAATACCAGAAAAGCCTCAGCTCGCAGGGAAGAACATTGCATATTGACACAAAATGAAACTTTCTCACTTGAGTCCGCCATTTTGTTTAGGTTTTTTTGGGACCAATCTCGTCGCAATCTCTTATGTTTAGGTTTTTTTAGGTACCAAACCCCTCACAATCCCATCGCATCATCCTCACAGTAAAGAAGCAAAAAATTTGTTTACAGCGGTGTATTGCTAAATATGTGATTTGTATTGCGCAAGTTAATTAAGACCGCAACTTTCAAACATTCTGCAATTTGTATATTTTGATGACGTCACAGACGTAGTTTACAATTTTATGAATTGCTGGTCAGAAGAACTGTGAGATGCCACTGGGCAAATGTCGCTCTTTGATTTAAGTTAACATTTGCATTTCCCTTACTAACTTCAACTCTGTAATTTAGATTTTGAACATCTACACTCCCTGCAATGACTGTGAAATAAAGGAGTAGTTTAAAACCATGGAAACTCTTCGGCTAGTAACACAAGCGTCGCATAAGAAAATTTTTTTTAGTGGTGTAGTTCATGAGCACGAATTAGCAATGGCTGAAAAATCAGATGCTGTTTCGCTAAATAATGTAACTAGGCTCCTAACAAGACGTTGTCCACAGGTTCCCGTTAGATATCAAGCGACCTCCGAGTCTCGTTCAGAAAATGCGAAACTTAATCTCACGATTATTTCCGTATAATCTACCAACTCGTCCGCACCGACCTTTCTCGGGGACAAGTAGGCCACCCGCACTAGGGTATCC